CGCCAATGGCAAGCACCATGTCACGTTGTTGCTGGATCTGGAGAAGTTCTATGACAGCGTCTCACTATGTAAGTTTTCAGAGATAGCAGTCAATGTGGGATACCCATCTATCATTGTGCTGCTAGAGGTGGAGATGTGCATTGCGCCTCTATTTCTCAAGCTCCAGGACTTGGTGAGTAAAGTGGTGGTGGTTACGCGCTCGCTGGTGGCAGGCCGTCCTAAAGGAGTACAGCTGGCGAAAGTTTTGTCTACATCCTATTCTCGAGCGCGTCCACCGCAAGGCGCCGCAGCCGATGCTCGCACCTATCGTGATGACACGATCGCCAGAGCTGAGGACGACGAGGGCGTGGTTGTGGAGAACATGATCGGCGTGGGCGTTGAGTTCCAGCAGACTTTCCTTGAGGCCAGGCTGGTCATCTCAGACAAGACAGATCTCATCGCCTCTTCCAAGCAGTTGGGTCAGCGCGTGGGCAGGTCGCACAGGCAGTTGGGCATTCCTGTTTATTACAAACAGGCTGCAACGGACCTGGGCATTGACGTAAGCTCAGGCAGGTCGCGGGTGTGCAAGAAATCGAGTACACGCAAGAAAGCAGCAGATAGACAACATGCTTGTGTTCTCAGGTTATGCAGGCTAGGCCCCAGAGTACGACGCGCCTGTCAAGGTTTATGGGCGACGGGGGTAAAGCCGCAGGGTATGTATGGGCATCAGGTCTTGGGGACACCACCGAGTCGACTCCTTCAGGTCAGGCGACGAGCGGCGTCGGCCATTGCAGGAGTGAAACGCGGCCCTTGTCTCACATCGGTGCTGGAGCTGACCATGGGCACCAAGGACCCAGGCTTGGAACTCCCCAGGCAGCTGATCTGGGAATGGCTCGCACTGTGGTTCCAACGCCCAGATGTGCATGGCTCAATCAGCAGAGCGTGGGATTTAGGATCGCGGCGTGCACTTGTTCAAGGTAAAGTTAAGTGGCGGCGAGTTCGAGGGCCTGTTTCAGCAGTCAAAGCCACATTGCGAGAAGGTGGTAGGACATGCCCCACCCCGACACACTGGACTCGCGAGACAGATCAAGGCAGGCTCGCGGGCTGGTTCTCCGACTCGCCATGGCCTGACTGTGCACGTGTCGCACACTATGAGGTGGTGGGAGGTGGGTATGGGCTCACGGAAGGAACTGATCTTCGCCTGCTCTACCCGTGGCGGTCTTGGGACGGATCACTATAGACGCAGTGGTAAACTGGTGCAGGAGCGTCAGCCGCCCCAACGGGCTGGGCTCGCTTACCTAGAGGCGCTCGAGAAGAGCCCTGCCCCCGGCCGCGCGAATCTGGCCAGGGAACTCAACTCTCGGGGGTGATCATGTGGAGCCGCGCGCAGCGCATCGTCCAATCCAATCTAATCGCGTCCTCCACGTCCATCTGCGGGTCGCCTTCCATATCCAGCAGAGCCTTCTCCATGATATCGAGCTGCTCTCGGGCGCTGATACGAAGCGCCTCGTCGGGCGACGCACGGCGTACCGCTGCTGGGTCGCACTTCGTCGACAGCCCCTCGTACGAGACGTAGATGGCTGCGGGCTCGACGCCGATGACCACCGCAGGTCCGTCCCAGGCCTTGAAGATCATGGCCGGCCCCTTCCGACGCCGGTTCTTCCGCGCTTCCCTTCACGGTAGAAGGAGACCACGTCTCCGAGCTTCACGTTCGTGCTTGGGCGGCATCCTGCGACTAGGAACGACCAGAGCCCTGCGAAGCCGCTGGCTGGTGTCGAGCTTCTCGGGTGCCTTTTCAGCAGCTCTGTAGACCTGCAACTGCTTCGTCGTGTAGGGGTCGTTCTCCACCGCGTCATGCACGCCAATCTGGGAGCGCCCAAGGTCATTGAGCAGCCCCCAAGGCAGCTGCTGCGACCTGCCCAGCACGAGCGGTGCTGGCCAATACCCAGACTCATTGATCCTCCGATTCTTGGCCCAGGTGATCATTACGGCTGCGGAGGTCACCTCAAGCTCCGTCTCGATCTCCGTCTCCGTGATGCTGGCACGCCAGAGTTCTCTCCATCCGCTTCCAGCCCGCTCGCACATGCCGTTCTGCCACGGCGCCTCCACAGCGGTGTACCACACCTGAACGCCGCAGCCTCCCAGCAGCCTGAACACCTCCTTGTAGAACTCACCTCCGCTGTACGCCACCAGAGAGTTGGGCACGCCTGCCGAGCTGAACCACACCAACTCCAGAGCCTGGGCCACGATGCCAATGTGCTTGCTCTTGATGGGGCGATCACCTGGAAGCCAGTCTTGATGTCCACGGTGTTCAGCATCTCCTGCGCCCCGTCCGGGCTCGTGTGGATCGTGAACAGGTCGATCGCGATCCGATCCCCAAATTACGTCGCCTTCTTGAGCCTCGCTGGGAACCGAGCGTGGTCCACGGCAGGACGGTCCACCTCGTGGCAGATCGGGCACCGCAGCCGCGTCGCCGCGGCGATGGCCTCGTTGCTGGCTCCACAGGCTCGACACGCTCGCACCAGTTGATCTCGGGAAGGGTGTCTGAGGTTCCTGTGGATTCTGAGCACCGCGTTCCGAACTTCCTTCGGCACTTGCCAGCAGCAGCACCAGGACGACGAGGACGACGAGGATGAGGACGAGGACGAGGACGCGGACGATGATGCAGACGAGGACGAGGAGGCGGAGGAGGAGGTGGACGACGACGACGACGACGACGGCGGCGGCGGCGTCGACGACGACGACGACGACCTGCAGCTGCGGCTCTGGGGAAGGAGCTCCGCCGGCGGCGTGGGGCCTCTAGGCTGGGCGGCTCCGCTCCGCCACGTCCGCCTGTTTGGGAATGCGGGGGCAAGGCGGACAGACGGGCAGTCCAGGAGGGGACAGGCAGTCCGTGCAAGAGGAGGAGGAGGAGGAGGAGGAGGAGGAGGAGGAGGAGGAGGAGGAGCAGTGGAAACCCAAGAGTCATCAACGATGTTGGAATCAACCATCCCTCCAAGCTCCCTCTTAATAGGCCCCCACAACGGTTCATTTCCATTGAAGGAACTGCCTCGTTGGAAAACAACAGTCTGAAGATCTGGAAGCGTTGCGAAACATTGTTCTCGGGATTTCAACGCCACGTATCAACCTGACTGCTGCATCTTGATGATCCAGGATCGTGCCAGAACGCCCTTTTCGGGATTTCTGCACAGCGAATCAATATAACTGTTGCGCCCGCATAATCCCGAATCCGTCCAAAACATCATTTCTGGTACGCTGATCATGGGAACCCGTGAAGCTCTCGCAAATGTATAAACGAATGTACGCGGCGCGAAGGCGAGAGCCACATTTTGAAAACCACCGCCCTCAATCCGTGAAACTCTTGCAATTATGAAACGAATGTGCCCGGCTTTAGGCGAGAACCATATTTTGAAGACGAATCGCAGTCAATCCGTGAAGCTCTGGCAGATTTTTAAAACGAATTTGCGCGGCGCTCAGGCGAGAACCACATTTTGAGAGCCACCCGCCCTCAATCCGTGAATCTTGCAAGTTTTTAGAAAGAATTTGCGCGGCGCTAAGGCGAGAGTCACATTTTGAGAACCACCCGCCCTCAGTCCGTGAAGCTCTTGCAAGTTTTGAAAACGAATGTGCGCGGCGCTCAGGCGAGAGCCACATTCTGAAAACCACCCGCCCTCAATCCGTGAAACCCTTTGCAATTTTTTAGAACGAATGTGCGCGGCGCTAAGACAAGAGCCACATTTTGAAAACCACCCGCCCTCAATCCGTGAAGCTCTTGCAAGTTTTGAACACGAATGTGCGCGGCGCTAAGGCGAGAGCCACATTTAGAAAGCCACACGCCCTCAGTCCTTGAAGCTGTTGTCACCATTTAAGCTTCAAAGTCACAAATGGCGGGGAAGTCTCAGGCGAAACTCCCAGCCCGTCCGAAAAACTGGCCTCGGGGTGCGACAGGGGGGAGTTATCTATAAGGAGAAGGAATGGGGGAGGAGGAGGAGGAGGAAGAGGAGGAGGAGGAGGAGGAGGAGGAGGAGGAGAGGAGGAAAGGAGGAAAAGGAGGAGAGGAGGGAGGAGGAGGGGGAGGAGGAGGGGAGGAGGGGAGGAGCAGGAGGAGGAGGGGAGGAGGAGGAAGGAGGAGGAGGAGGAGGGGCGGCGGAGGAGGCAGGAGGAGGAGGCAGAGGGGGAGGAGGAGGAGAAGGAGGAGGAGGAGGAGGAGGAGGAGGAGGAGGAAGGCATGGACGAGCATGTGGAAGGAGAGGAAGAGGAGGAGGTAAGGATGAGGAGGAGGTGGAAGAGGATGAGGAGGTGGGGAGGAGGAGGAGGTGGAGGAAAAAGAGGAGGAGGAGGCGGAGGCGGAGGAGGAGGAGGGAAGGTGGATGAGGAGGGCGGAGGAGATGAGAAGGATAGGAGGAGGAGGTGGGCGGAGGATGTGACATGTGGATGTGGGTGGGATGAGGATGAGGATGAGGATGAGGATGAGGATGAGATGAGCATAGGATGCTGAGTGATGTTGACGATGAATGATGTTGGATGTTGATGAGTTGCTGATGCTGATGATGCTGGTGCTGATGCTGATGATGCTGATGCTGATGCTGATGGTGGTGATAAAGATGATGACGATGATGAGGATGCTGATGATGCTGATGCTGATGCTGATGCTGGTGCTGATGCTGATGCTATGATGATGAGGATGATGATGATGATGATGATGACGATGATGCTGATGCTGTTGATGCTGATGCTGAGGAGGAGGATGAGGATGATGAAGATGATGACGATGCTGATGCTGCTGATGATGATGAATGCAATGTTGATGATGAGGACGATGATGATGATGCCGATGATGATGCTGATGCTGGTGCTGCTGCTGTTGATGATGTTGACGATTCTGCTGATGATGACGACGATGACGATGCTGATGGAACATGATACCAAGATGATGATGATGATGCGGCTGATGCTGATGCTGATGATGATTATGATTATGATGATGCTGATGACGATGACGATGATGCTGCTGATGATGCTGATGATGCTGATGCTGATGTTATTGATGATGCTGATGCTGCTGCTGATGATGCTGATGATGCTGATGATGATGCTGCTGCTGATGATGATGCTGTATATGATGATTCTGAACATGATGATGATTACGATGATGATGATAATGCTGTTGATGATGACGATGATGATCATGACGCTGGTACTGATGGCGATGATGATGATGCTGATGATGATGACGATGATGATGATGACGATGGCGATGACCATGACGATGATGATGCTGCTGCTGATGATGATGGTGATGCTGATTATGATGATGATGATGCTGATGCTGATAATGATGATGATGATGATGATTATGATGATGCTGCTGCTGATGATGATGATTATGATTATGATGATGTTGATGATGATGATGATGATGTCGATGATGCTGCTGATGATGATGATGCTGCTGATGATGATGATGATGATGATGATGATGAAGCAGAAGCTGAAGACGATGATGATGCTGATGATGATAATGATGATGATGATGCTGATGATGATGATGATGATGATGCTGATGATGATGTCGATGATGCTGCTGCTGCTGATGATGATGATGATGTGGATGATGATGATGATGCTGATGATGATGATGATGCTGATGCTGATGCTGATGCTGATGCTGATGATGATGATGATGATGATGATGAGGATGAGGAGGATGAGGATGAGGATGAGGATGAGGATGAGGATGAGGATGAGGATGAGGATGAGGATGAGGATGAGGATGAGGATGAGGATGATGATGAGATGGTGATGAAGATGATGATGATGATGATGATGATGATGATGATGATGATGATGATGATGCTGCTGCTGCTACGGCTACTGCTGATGATGATGATGATGATGATGACGATGATGATGATGATGATGATGATGAGGAGGAGGAGGAGGAGGAGGAGGAGGAGGAGGAATAATAATAAGAAGAGGAGGCGGAGGAAGCGGAGGAGGCGGAGGAGGTTGAGGAGGAGGAGGAGGAAAAGCAGCAGGAGGAGGAGGAGGAGGAGGAGAAGGAGGAGGAAGAGGAGGATAAGGAGGAGGAGGCGGAGGCCGAGGCCCAGGCGGAGGCGGGGGCGGAGGCGGAAGCGGAGGCGGAGGAGGAGGCGGAGGCAGAGGCGGAGGCGGCGGCGGAGGCGGAGGCGGCGGAGGCGGAAGCGACGGCGGCGGCGGAGGCGGAGGCGGAGGCACAGGAGGGGGAGGAGGAGGAGTTGGAAATGGAGGAGGAGGCGTAGGAGGAGGAGGAGGACCAGTGTAAACCCAGGAGTCATCAACGATGTTGGATAAACCCTCCTTGGAGAAACCGCTCCTTTGGAAAACAACCGTCTAGAGACCCTGAAGCATGCCAAGACATTGTTCTCGGGACTTCAACGCCACGGATGAACCTGACTGTTACGCCTTGGCAATCCTGAGTCGAGCCAGAACGCCATTCGTGGGACTTCAGCGCAGTGAATCAACATAACTGTTGCGGCCTCGTAATCCTGAATCCCTTCCAAACAACTTCTGGCACGCTGATGATGGGAAACCATGAAGCTCTTTCAACTTGTCAAAACGAATGTGCGCTGCGCTAAGGCGAGAGCCACATTTGGAAAACGACCCGCTCGCAATCCGTGAAGCTCTTGCACATTTTTAATGCGAGTGTGCGCCGCGCTAAGACGAGAGCCACATTTTGAACACCACCCGCCCTCGATCTTTGAAACTCGAGTGTGCGCCGCGCTAAGGCGAGAGCCACATTTGAAAACCACCCGCCCTCAATCCGTGACGTTCTTGAAAATAACGAATGTGCGCCGCGCTAAGGCGAGAGCCACATGTTGAAGACGTTTTGCCCTCAATCCTTGAAACTCTTGGAATTTTTCAAGACGAATGTGCGCTGCGCTAAGGCGAGAGCCACATTTTGAAAACCACCCGCCCTCAATTCGTGAAACTCTTACACATTTCTAAAACGAATGTGCGCCGCGCTAAGGCGAGAATCACATTTGGAAAACGACCCGCCCTCCATTTGTGAAGCTTTTGTTATTTTTTATGCTTCAGAATCATAAGTGGCGGGGAAGTCTCAGGCGAAACGCCTGGCCCGCCCTAGAAATTGGCTTCGGGGTGCGACAAGGAGAAGTTATTCATGACGAGCAGGAATGGAGGATGAGGAGCAGGAGGAGGAGGAGCAGGAGGAGGAGGAGGAGGAGGAGCAACAGCAGCAGCAGGAGGAGAAGGAGGATGAGGCGGAGGAAGAGGTGGAGGAGGAGGAGGAGGAGGAGGAGGAGGAGGACGCCAGCTACCTGGTCGTTCTGGTTTTCCTGGACGTCGAAGAGGTACCGTGCCGGTGTCGCCGTCGACGGGCGACGGCCGGCCCCCACGGCGGGGCGGCTTCCGAGCTCCCGACGGGGCCGCAAAGAGGCTGCGGGTGGTGCAGCCGACACAGCCCGGGGGCGTGGTGGCTCCTCGACCCTCGGCGCAGAGCGGTGTGGGCCTTAGTGGACCCCGGAAACGAAAGGGCCGTTTTTTTACCGGTTCCGTTCTGCCGTTTTCTTGCCGGTTCCGACGCCGTTTCTTTCCTGGTTCCGTCGCCGTTTTTTGACCGGTTCCGGCTCCGGTTCCAATCCTGGAGCCGTGTTTTTGCCGTTTCTGGTCGCCGTTTTTTTGCCGTTTCCATTTTCAAGGGACATTTTTTTGGAAACGGTAAAATAACGGCCCTGCCGTTTCCAGGGCCCACAAAGGTGTGGGCAGCCGTCGACCCTTTTCGTCTGTGCCTTGGTTTGCTTC